AAAGTGTTTTTGTGCTTTGAACAATTATGAAGGATTGAGCATTGAGAAGATCTTTTAAGCAATCAAGTTTAAGCAACTCAAAAATCAAAATTATGGTCAGTTTTTTTAGACACCATGGCCTGGGAAACAACATAATAGTAATTGGATTTATTGATTAGGTCAAATGATGATGTTAGAATATTCTGTCTACATCTGTATTTATTTTGGGGTGAGGAAATACTGACGTCTGCGAAATTGATTATGAATATTTATATATATTTTATTGGTGTTGGTATATGAATGTAGGTATGTGGTAGATCTATATTCAACCAGATGTTACTGCTATCTGTTGTAGATAAATCAATAAATTACCAGCAATATACAGTATCTTAGCTTCGTATTCAGACCTACTTTCATTTTATCATTTCAAATGCAGACTTGAATTAGATTTTTTAAACCATTTTAATAATTGTTTTGAATTATTCAAGTATGGAGAATTTGAACTTCAGTATTTCTGGAAGCTAAAAAATGAAAACATGAGGACAGTGGCATGTGGGAGTCATAGAATTCTGACAATCTGATTGGCTGGCATGTAACATATGAGCCAATCAGGTTTTATTTTGAAATTCATCCTGTTTACATTGCATCATCAGACCGACTGTAGCAGACACCTTTTAGAAACTCTCCTCAATTAATGTTGGATTTCTATTAAAACACTTCATTGTTGTTTGCTGCATCAGATCACAATGGGACTTTGTACATCTTCTATGAGTGACTCCATTAATATCACAAAATTGAAAGGAAAGAAATATGAAAAAATGTATTTAGGAGACAGAAGAATGATAAAACAGGTTTGTTTTTCTGATATTTTTCCTTCTCAGACCACAGGTGTGGAAAAATAACATTGCAAAATACAAATTTAAACAAAAGTGTCATTTAAATTTTGAAGAAAATGACAAAATATGCTTTTTCCATTTCTGATTTGTAAATTTTTTTTTTTTTTTTTTTGGTACTGGTTATGAGTTAGTTAGTTAATTAGTTGATTGGTAATTGATATCAACCTAAGTATGTCCGTCTGTTTACATCTGATTTGAATGAAACTTGGTATGCTCAGTAAATGCTTGATATCTCAGACGAGTTTAAACGTGACAATGTTCCGCAACATATTTGTGGGTTTTATTCTCTCACCAGATGACGACACATGTAAATAGTGTTTACATTTATTAAAGACGTGTGATTATTCCATAATATTGTCTTGTGTAATGTCTCGTGATATGAATATTCGTGGTGTTATCATCCTTGATTTAATGAAAACACACAAAATTTGCTAGCACAATAAAAGATAGGGTTTTTATTTTGTTTTATACCAAAAAAAGGCTACAGATTTCAAATCAATTTGGATGAAACTGAACAGTAAGTTTATAGATTGATTTTATATCAAACTAAAGGAATGTTGACATTGGGGTAAAAAAACGAGTCGTTGTTTTTCGACAATGAAAAGAATCCTTAGTTTTCTTAAGTGCTGAAATAGGCATATTGTACCTTGCTGGGCAACCAACATGTATTTTAATTTATTTATATGAAATATACAAATTATTTTATACATTTGTTAAAGAATATTGGAGAAAATTTCTTATTAAAAGCTGGTCACTTTGGTAAAGATTCTCATTTCAAACGAGAGGGTACTTTCTTTTCCTGTTGTTAGAATATTGAAACGTATGTCAAGTTGTCTACGTGACACCAGGATTAGTTGACTGATGTCACGTTTTTATAACTACGTTCACTTCTAGTCACACTCCCATTGATAACACTTTACATTGATATTTCACAAGATTCTTTTTCATTCATAAAACTGCTGGTTAAATCATAAATAGGTCAGTAGGGAGGGGCTCTGTGGCCTTAGTTTAGCTGAATATCTATTCATTGTAACTGTATGTAACCAGGTAAATTGCAGTTGTTCAACAGACTAGTGATAAAGATATGAATTGCCTGTCAGTTACATTTTGAATAGCGTTAAGTTTGGCATTTGGTGAAATTGCTGTAATTATGGAAAGGTCTTCAAGTCTATCCTGTTTAAAGGATTTCTAATATTTTCTTACTGAAGAGTATTTTGTAGTAGGAAAAAGAAATATTAAAAAGAACCGCTTGAAACCTTGTATAACGATATCTGACGCGAAATTACTTTCCGAGAAAAACGCAAAAAACTATTTGAACTCGTATTTTGTTAAAATCTTTTTTATTATTTTTTTTACCGCTATACATGGTTTTCATTCTTGGAAAATATTAACCTTGTATAACAATTTGAGATCTCCGGGCTATTCAACCAATACTCGTATAATAATACAGTATACAAGGTTTTTCATTTTCATCTGCAGAAAAGGAACATTGAACCTCGTATAATAATATATTTTCTTAAAGTAGGTCTATTATTTTTGTGAAGAAGGTCTTTAACATTTAAGAGTAGAGATCGCATTAAATAACAAAACACAATTTCATGGTATACTACTCCTGAATATTACCTGTGTACCATAATGTTGTGTTCCATTAGTTAAGATCGTACTATAGCTTTGTTTGCCCACTTGTTCTATCTTATAAAGAACCTTTACTATCCGTGTGACCAATCATACCTTAGTCTCAGAAACAGGAATTTTTATACCTTACATAATCAGTAATAGTGTTCACAGCTCATTGTCGAAATTTGAGCCTTCAATTCCATGTGTATCTATAATTATTTACTTTTGAAGTTAAAAATTCAACTCGAATTCTAGTGAGACTATGCCACACATAGAAAACACATAGAATAGACAGTGAAATTTCTAGTTTGAGGTATATTTGAAGGGATTATGTGTTTTCGTGCGATTTAGTACTTCTTAAGACTATTAAAGCACAATAAAGACCCAAATCAATCTCCGAAAATGACGACTGTTCACTTTAATACTTAGATTGTCATAAAAATTTGTTTTTCGTTGTTGTGTTTGATTTTTGGAGATTTGAAATCAGATTGCTATTCATTACGTGCTCGATGAATTCAACACAAAATAAACACAAGCGAATTCTTTCAGTTATAAAGGTCTGAAAAATTTCAAATAAACGGCTACACCTTCTGTAAACAGAAAGTCCAAAACCGCATGTTTCCCTTACTTTTAAGAACACCCTGTTTCTCAAGAAGGCCAGAAGTATGTGACTCTTGGAGAGTATCACATGGCCACTAGGATGCTAAGAATTTGGTCATAGGATATGACTGAATGACTGTATTATCTTACTTCCTGGTAGGTTTGAATTTGTAAAAACATACTTCTATTGACAAAAGACTAGTTGCACTGGTTGAACTGAATTGTGCAATGAGGAATTCTGAAATTTCACAGGGAAAACAAATATCTGGTGTCTGATTTCTTTGTTCACTTGCAATGATTTGTGTATGTACATTAAGAACATAAATATATATGATAAATGCTATTAAAGATGGGTTCCCTTATTTTCATTTATGAAAATGAAAATGCTTATACTTATATGAATAGAAAGTAGAGGTGTTCTAATGACTTGGAAAAATACCAGTTTGTCTCAGATATCCATAATTAGTTCATAATTAGCTAAATTAGAGGAGAATTACCAGCAGAATTCCAATGAGTGACCGATCAAGAAAAGTCAAAAACTCTTTTTTTGTTTATCCAGACTGTACTTATATGGACATTTGTGATTGGTTCAAACTCTTAATTATATGCGATAAGAACATAATGATATGATTAAGAATACGTGATAATTCATTAGAAACACCAATTATTCAAATAGTTTGCTTAATTTGACACTAAAAAAATAAGGAAACCTATCTTTAAGGAACTTCATTACATATTTCTGTTTCCTAAACATGTTAGTCAAATAGGGCGGGAGTTTTTTGTTTTGTGGTTGACGTGACATTATAAGTTATGTACACATTTTTACACTAGGCAAGCTCTTTTTCCATGGCCATATTGAAATGGGTAGAAGGGGCCTCTATCAAATGATGAAATTGCATGTGCAGATTTTTTCATGGCCATCTTGAAATTGGTAGATGGGGCCTCTATCTCAATGAAATTCAATGACATTTTAATTTACGGTATGTACATTTTTTGTGCATAAGATGACTTCTATGTTGTGGCGATCTTTAAATGGGTAGACTGAACCTCAGGAATTTGAATCCACTTCAATATAATCCAAGAGAGCTTTTTCTATTCAGTCTTTTTGACCAGATACTTTTAAGCTGAGTATCCATATAACTTTGGATATGGAGGCAAAAAAAGGTTCATTTATGGAGGGAGGGCATTACGTTCAGAAAAGAAATGAAGAAGAATTTTAAAATAAAAGAAGTATGATAATGGTTTAGTATTTGAAAATCACATAAAATGTCAAGCCCTATACTTATATGGTTTTATCTTGTAATTTATGGAGACATTATATAATATTTAATATGACCTTCGTAAGATTATGAAATGATTCAGCTAATTTGAAAAGTCAGTAATAAAATATGAAAAGATTTCCTGGTGATGATTACTAGAGAGCTGCTTCTCCAAAAACTTAAGAGGATTTTAGTGATCTAGTCATCTGATTGGATTAAAATTAAATTTTAAATTCTTATCATCCAATCAGATTACAGTACTTTTTTTTAAGATCTGGACTCTATTTTATTTAAGTTTTCAAGAATAAGGCCCCTTAATGAAAGACTTTCTAAATGCTAAAAAGTTTACCAAACATTTCATAGCTCTACAGCTCAACTTACTGTGTCATGTTGTGATACATGTGGCTAAATTATTTTTCTGGTTAAAGATTTCTTTTCCTGCAAAAGCCAATTTATTGTTTGCATAGTGGAAATTGTTTACAATTACAAACAATTATTCAAAAAAACAACATTGGAGCAGAAGAATGACTGAAAATCTCAGAAATTGACTTTTCCCAATTCTCCAACATCTGATTTTGAAAGAATTTTTTTTGAACCAACAATGACAAAACAGCTATAATTAAAACACACTTTTCTTTGTATTTTTCAGGTAGAAAATATCTTAAAACCATTTATTCTTGAAGATTCTGTTTATGATAAAGTCTGCGATGTTATGTTGGACAATTTCAATAAGGGTTTGGGTAAGGATACTAATGCTGATGCCAGGGTGAAAATGTTTCCTACATATGTCAGATCAGTACCAAATGGCACAGGTAGGGTATTTTTCTTTTATAGAAATCAAATTTTAATCAAGCATTTGCATTCTTTCTAGGATCTGAGAACCTATCTCAAGATAGTAGAAGTGGACCTTCATTTACTAAGAAGACAAAATATTCATGTCCATTTCTGCTTAATTGTCAAAATCTTTGAACTGCTGCTCCAAAATTCCTCTTCATGGTTGTTGCCATTCATTGATGTGGTCAACACCAAAATGTAAACCTCCCAATGAAAAGATTTTGTCATCCTTAATGCAGCATTGTATTACAGGCATTGTTGTGGTTTTGAACTTATGTATGTAAATTAAAAGCGTTCTGTCCTTTCATTTCAGAGGAAGGCAACTTTCTGGCGTTAGATTTAGGAGGAACTAATTTCCGAGTTTTATTAATTAATTTAAATGGACAGGAAGTTGATATGGAAAGCAAGATATATTTAATACCACAACATATTATGTTAGGAACAGGAGTACAGGTGAGATATCTTTTAAAACTATGGCCATCTTGGTAACCTTGGTAACCTCAAACCATTAGCCTGAATGGTCCTTGCCTTTGACAAGTACAAAAGGAGGAGGGGGGGGAGGGAATCAGTTAATCTGAACAGAAAAAATGCTGTTAGTATCTGAAAATGTTGTATTTAATGTATACCAAGTTCCGTTACAGTGGCATACTCCTTCCAAGTCAACCAGTGAAGTTTTCAGCACCCTTCCCCCCAAAAGTTACAGCTACAAAAAGCTACAATGGTTATTTGATAATTTTATTTGGGAAAGCATTTTTGTAAAAGATTATATGTGACTGAAAACACTTAATAAAATAACTAGTACTAAAACAACTCATTCTATTACAAGATAAAGTAGTACTAATACTCTTTATGCACTCTGTTATACCATGTTCTGATAGAAATATGTAATATTTGGAACCATTCCAACATTTTTGCCAACTCTATTGCCAATGAGCTATAAAGATGTTTTTGTTGCAATCATGAGATGTACAGATATGTTTTTCATTTAGCAAACCCATGAAAAATTAATTAGATGCATATAGGCCGTATGAAATGTGAATTTAAGAAACAGTCTTGTTTTGTTGATTGTTTATTGTCTATTATTATATAAACATATCTTTCATGTTTAAGTAATTAAGACTACCTGTAATGTTTTGTATGAAAATGTAAAAACTGAATTTCATTATGAAATACTCACTCATGGTTGATATACTTCCTCATGTGAAAAGTTCATTAGCTTCTATCAATGTTTCGCCAAATTGTTGTTTTAGATTTTTGGTTTTGTTTCGCGGTTCGGATCATTAGTTATTTATTGATAAAGAAAACCACCATTGTCATTTGAAAATGCTGTATTTGTATAACTTTTCATTAATTTTCCTCATTTTCTACTTTCAGTTATTTGACCATATAGCAGATTGTATATATAAATTCATGAAAGAACATAAATTAGAAAACAAAAAATTACCATTAGGGTTTACTTTCTCTTTCCCTTGTAAACAACTGGGTTTAGCAGAAGCTCACCTGACAACCTGGACTAAAGGTTTTAAATGTGAGGGTGTTGAAGGCAAAGATATTGTCACATTATTACATGATGCAATAAAAAGAAAAGGGGTAAGATTTTTTACAGTAAATCTTATGATACAAGAAGAGTTCATAATTCAGTTTCTAGAATCACTACTAAGTCTTTAATTCAAAATATGTCTTATTCTACAACTGTTGTTTGAAGTAGTTGTCAGCTCACAACTTATAATGCACCCTAATTTAAGGCAATAAAGCTCTTCTGTGAAGGAGGAGGAGGAAGTTGCCAGACCTTACTTCCCTCCAATGAAGAAGAGCTGTTGCAACTTTCCTCCACAGTAGAACTTATGCAAGAATAACACTTTATATTTGTTATTTTAATGAGATTTTTTAGTTTGAATAGATTTCCAGGTAGCTGGCATTAAGCTCTATTATCTGGTCTAGTGGTTAATTAAATTTGTTTTGTTTTTTTTTAGGATATGCATGTTGAATGCTTAGCTGTGATAAATGACACTGTGGGTGCTCTGATGTCCTGTGCTCATAGTGATAGACAATGTGGTATTGGTTTGATTTTAGGTGAGTAGACCATCCAACAGAACCTTAGCTTATAGGTCATATATGCTTACAACTGTATATATGGTGTTCGCATGTGCAAATTTAAAACTTAAAACAGAGTTACTGGCTTTGACACGATTGTTGAAAATGCTATCTCCTCTACAGTTTTCAACACAATGGAGGCCCATAATGAAATTTGCAGTTTGGAACAATTTTGATGTACACATGTATTTTCAAAATAAGTGTTTTTATGGTATACTACACAATTCCAACTGATTTGTATAAAACATGGTGTTAACATTCAGTGTTGAACATTCATGAAAAAGGGTCAATGTGGAAAGTTGAATAGATAATATATTCTATTGTATCAATATCAATTTTGGACACACTTCACTTATCTTAGGATTATTTGACCATGTGGAAGTCAAGTTTCAAAGTCCATCAATTATTGCCCTACATTTTTATGTTGAGATAAATTTCTGTATATATCATATTTTGTCTAGTGAATCAATATTCATTGTTGTTAACAGCTGTCTATAGATAAACTATATAACTGATACTTTGGACTTTAGACTTTAATGTGGTCAAGCAAATAAAATAAATAAAAAAATTATGTCTAGGTTAAAACTAAATATTTGCTAACAATAATGAATCTGCATTATCATTTCGCCTACAGAGGCTTTTTTAACCAACAGTTACAATTGAGTTTCGCCATTTTCCGGAGTTGATTCGAGTCTTGAATATATGTAAATAATCTGCAGAAGTGCTAGAAATGAACGGAAATCGTAGAATTTTGTCATAACATACCTCTTGAGGGCTCTCATTTCAATTTTATTACTAATTACCTTTTAGCTAAAAAATTCCCATTTCTGAGACTAAGGTACGATTTGTCAAAAAGATGGCCACCCTGTCTTATTAATACTATCTACAAAAAGTGCATTTCTGATGAATCATCTCCTTTTAGGAGCTTGTGATTGAGTTTTAAAGATAAGATAGAAAAGTATAGGTAAAATGTCCTTGGAAGAAGGACAAGTTATTGTTTTATAATGCAGTAACTCTCTAAAAAAAAAAAACAACAACAACATATGTTTCCATTACATTAATATATGTGTTACTTCACAATAAAATGTAATAAAAACATTCACAAAGTCAATAATATCAAGTTTTCAGGAATCTTTCTGTTTGAGAGATTTGCACCTTGGGCATTATCTGAATATATTTTTTACCAAACTAAGTTATTTAGTAAATAAGAATGGTATGGTGCAAACAGAAGATTTTAAGTAACCCCATCCACATTTTTAAAGTCTAGATTCTAGAAGGTCTGAATTTTTTCAAGGGCCAACTTTTACAATTACAAAACTGGCTTGTTCAGTTTTTGATTTTGTTAATATTAATCCTTTAGTGACATTTAGGGGTAGAGATCACATTAAATAAATGAACACAATTTTATGGTATACTACTCCTTAGTTTTATTACACACTACGTTTCAGCAAACTAACAATCACCTGATGATGACAATGTAGATTGTTAAAATGTAGTGTGTAAACTAAGGAGTAGTATACCATAAAATTGTGCTCCATTATTTAATTTGTTAATATTGATTTATTGTATTTTAAAGGGTTTATATCAGCTTTATTTAGATACTTTGTCAGCTTTTGTTTATTATTTTGACATGACTCAATTACCTACTACCCCCTTAGATTGACGTCATTTCAGCGTGTTTCAATGATCTCATGATTTGAATTCAGTAGACCAAATATTTCATATACTGATATTCACACAGGAGGGCTTGTTCAATAACAATGTTTACTCAAAAAATGTAATCTGAAATTATTTGATGTCGAAAAGTGAATGACATTTTGAAATCAGTGATTTTGAAAATGCACACTTCAATGAATAGTATAAGTACATGTAGGATTTTTTTTTCAAAGTAATTGCTTTATTAAGTCACTGTATATTCTTGCATATATTCTTCAAATTTCATAAAAATTGAAACACATAATACAATCAAATCTCACAGTTGCTATCTTCCTACATACATAAAATATAGTTTCTGTATGAAATATGTAAATATGCGCTACATACTCTTAGAAAAGCATTATTACAATAGCATTTCTATATGTTCAATATCAATTAGCATAATTCAATACCTCCCACTACTATGTTGTTATAGTATATCATACTGTTTAAATATAGAGGAAATAATTCTATATACTTCAGTTATTCTTTATAATATATACATCGATTTTATAATCAGTCATTCATATCATATATATTATTTATTGTACATGTATATGTAAAATATCAATTGATTTATCAGCATAAAAATGTGTGGGTTATTAAGCACAGTATATCAAATTTAAGTGAAGATTTTAAGAAAGTTTTTAGAAATAAAGCTTTTAAAGATAGATTGTCCAAATTGTATTAAATATTTAGTGATTCATATATTGAAACTAGGTGTAGAAATATATCATATCAATTATACTACAGCCAATGTTCAGTTATTTACTTTGATATTTCAGGAACTGGTACTAACGCTTGCTATATTGAAAGATTGGAGAATGTTGAATTATGGGATGCAGATTATGAGGAACCAAAGCAGGTATTGGAATTGATCAGTTTTATGTTCAATAAATCTCAAAATTTGTAAGAATTATGAATGTCTCTGAGAACACTGAAGAAGGCAGATTTTTTCCCTTTTTTGCTGTATCCATTGCTTATTGACTTGTATTTTTGGCGAATAAATTGTGTCAGCTTTTGAAACTGTTAAGTTAAAGTTAGATTGGTCAGGGTTCAATTTAGGCGGTATTGCATTGCAGTTTGCAATTCAAAAAGACCCCGTTTCCTATGATTAGCCAATCTTAAAATTCATCACCATGATTTGGCATTCAAATAAAATTGTATATATGAAGGTTTACTACCTCAACATTTTAAATTGCTACCAAATTTTTAAGAAATGCAAATCAAAATTTAACTTGATTAGTCCAAACTAAATTTGGTCCGATAAATTGCTCATCAATTTTCAATCTAAATTGAACCCTGAAACTTAACATGATTTAAAGAATATTGTTTTTGTCAGTTCATGGCTGGTGATTGTGCCAAAAGAAAAAGAACAGGCAGATCTGCATTGTAAAAAATATACATCAATCTATCACATCCAAATAATCCAACTCTGATGATTATCTTTTGCAATTTTCAGGTGATAATCAATACAGAATGGGGAGCATTAGGTGATAATGGTGATTTAGATTTCTTAATAACAGAATATGATAAACATGTAGACAAGCATTCCATTAATGCTGGAAAACAAATGTAAGTCATTTTCATTTATTGCTGATAGGTGAAAGACATCTTCCAAATATTCTAAATGCATTTGAAATATGGTTTGGCAAAGCATTTATCATAAAGTGCACTGATGTTATCACATATTATAGTCAAGGGTGTGTAGGTTTCCATTAAGTTTCTGATTTTATAAGGGAGACACTGTGGCTTAGTGAATTATACACCTTGCTCACTGCTCTGCGAAAATTTCCCTCATTGCACACTGCATGGTCAATTAGGTGCAGAATAATAGGACGTAAAACTTCATTCATTTCATTTCTAATTTTGTAATGGGGAATTTTATTAATTAATTTGTTATTGTAGATATGAGAAGATGATATCTGGTATGTATATGGGAGAAATTGTCAGATTAGTATTAGAGAAACTACGTAAAAATGGTTTATTATTTAATGGTAAAGGATCTGAAGAATTATCTACTAGAGGCAGATTTTACACCAAATATGTGTCAGAAATTGAAAGGTAGGTCTTCTATTTACCTAATGAATATAATATGAACTGTTGAAGGCATCAGATCCAACCACCCAATTTCACAAGAAAAATAGGATCTGACAAAATCATACTGATGAACAAGCTCAGTTGATAATGCTGAAGTGGAACATGTGCCATATATGCCAAATATATGCAAACATATTCTGAGCTTCAAGAGGTAGTTGACTGGAGCTCATCTCTGTCTGCTGACACATGTTCCAGATTTAAAATCATCATCAGGACAACATGTATAGGAAATTTAAAAACTCTCCAAAATAGGTAAACTCACTCATCATTTTGTATTTTTCAGTGATGTTGATGAAAGTGATTTTAAGAGTACAAAACAAGTATTTGATGAATTGAATTTGACTGATTACACAGATCAAGATTGTCGTATAGCATTACACGTTTGCTCTCTGGTTTCTAAACGTGCTGCCTATCTTGCCTCAGCAGGTATGATTTGTGAATCTTTATTATTTTTTATCAGAGAGACTAAAGGATGTTGACCCTTTTCAGTATCATTCCTATGTTGTAGCTCAAACTGAGTCTAATCCATCGAAAGAGCAAGGCCTTTTAATTCATTGATTAATTCAGATAGAATTGGACACAAAAAATCTGTTCTATCAAAGAATTCATGCTGATGTCTTTCAGGTATTGCTACATTGTTAAATAAGATGGAAAGAAAAGATGTTAGTGTAGCTGTAGATGGTTCATTATATAGATTTCATCCTCATTTTCATGATCTCATGGTGGAAAAAATCCAGAAATTGATCAAACCTGGTCTTAGGGTGAGTTATTTCCCTTGAATTACCTTGAAGCAGAAGGCCAGTTTGGGTGTGTTTGATTCACTGTTCTGGATAGTGTTCTAAGAATGTGGATTTGTCTGGCATTTCAATTTCTTTGCCAAACTTGTTTGCCATGGTTGAAAAGAATTATGATGACTTTAGTTATTGAATTTGTTGACTTTTCATTTCAGTTCAAATTGATGTTATCTCACGATGGTAGTGGTAAGGGTGCTGCCCTAGTCGCTGCTGTAGCTAACAGATTAAAGGAGGAAGCACTACAAAAAAACAGTGAAGATTAAAGATAACATTATTAGGTCCTATATATTATTATAGAAATGATGAATCTCGTTTTATCTTTAGCTGGGGTTGTGTTGAATGATATCAAAACTTTGTTTTTTATTGTTAAATCATCATGAATAATCATGTTAAAATAATGTAAAAAATTGTTAATCATTTGTTTTTATTGTCTTTGTTCACTCTGACCGGTCATTCTCATTCAGTGGACAATTGGGAGAATTTTTTTTTCATTTTTCACTTGTTCGCTCATTTACACGATTTAGTTTTTGCAATTCGGAATTATTCGCACCATGGTTTATTTTTACGCACATATAATGCATGCTTTAGAGGATAGCTTGTCATTTAAAAAAAACAATTCGCAATTTGATTAAACAAGTAAATTAGGGAAAATGTTCTACTTGGTTTATAGTTTCAGTGTGCATGCAAAAGTCCTCTTTTCTCATTATTCAAATTGACCCAGCTGTAAATGGGTATGAATAATATTGAAAAAATGGGTGTCGATGAGTTTTGGACAAGGACTAGGTGGTAGAAAGGATCTTTAAGAACTGTAGTTTTCTTCTCTTATGGCTAGAGAAGTTTCTTTCTTTCATTTGTTTTTAAATAAAGTCACATGTTAAAATCTAAAACTTATCAAGCCATTCATATCACCCCATTTTCACATTTTAATAATTTGATAGGATTAAACAGAATACTTGCAAAAATATAACCTTTACATATCTCAAAGTGTTTCATGAATATCATAGACTTAACTTGAGTTTTTATCAACTAAATGCATGTTTTGCAGGTTTTAACCAAATGATTCAAAACCATCATGGTCTTTCCTTCGTTGATTTTATTAAAATTTTTAAGAATGTGGTATAGCTATACTGTACTAATTGATTTTAACAGTTTGTACAATGAGTATATAAGGATAACCATCTGTGTTTTGGATACAAACCCATCATCAGGAATAGATTTATTTATGACCCCACATAGTCATATCTGCTTAATTGTAATTAATTGTTCATTATTTAAAACAAAACCAATGGATGTTTTTATTCTGAAATAATTTATTTAATGGTAAATATTTAAATTTTTAATGTCTTTCATTTTCCATCTTATATAGACACAGTTCTCTGATTATTCATATGAAGAGGTTTAAAGACGATTGCTGTGTGTGAATTGGGTACTCTTATTGCTTTTATGTAACCCATTTCTGTCCTGGTCTTGTAAAAAAACAAGATGGCACAACAGGTTAAAAATTTGGAAAGGTGCATTGGATATGTCTCCAATAACGTGAATACATGTAAAGGTGCCCTCACATCATAGCGGTTGCAACTAATGAAAGAGGTCACAAGTACCGAATGCAACGCACAGCTCAGTTGCATGAGAGTTGTGTTTGAAACTTATTACCGCTATAATTCTAGTTCTTGTAAAAAACAAGATGGCATATAAGCAAAAGGTTCAAAAATTGGAATGGTGCATTGAACATGTCTCCAATTAACACAAATACATGTTACGGTGCCCTCACATCATAGCAGTTTCAAATAATGAAATTGGTCACGCGTACCGAATGCAACGCACAACTCAGTTGCATGAGAGTTGCATTTGAAACTTATTACAGCTATTCTTATTTCAAGCCGTACACAACTGCTAATTGCAGTTGTTTAAGAGACGTTTAATTCAAAAAGCCTCTTTGAGTCACTTCATTAGCGAATGATTAGAGAACTGGTTTTTTTTAATGTACAGTCGTCATTATTTTTATTTGCTTGATTATAAATAAGGGTTAATAAAAATGATTGTAAATATAGATTAATTAAATCTTTGTAAATATGATTTATAGGTTTTCTTGATGATAATTGTGGTGTGCTTATGCATAGTTGGATTTACAAGTTTTATAATGCTGTTGTCAATTCCATGAATATTAATTAAGCATTTGAATCAATATGTTATCTCATTGTATTTTATTGGGTAGCATCAACTTATCAACTCATGAGATATGGTATTTTCCTGAGTGAACTAAAGAGTCTGGAAAATCAAAATGAGATCACTTCTGGTATGGAATGAGGTCATGTGACTGAAATTGATTTCTGGCAATTTGTTTAGCACATACTAAGAAACCTGTAACCCTTTTAAAATTATTGGCTCATTGTAACATATTCATTATAATTCATTCCAACATCATCAAGACAATGTTGTTTCATTATGTTTGAACACAAATCTTGTGAGGATGCACTTATCTGAAGCTTAAGAGCTTAAAATTTTTGATGTGTGCATCAAATGATAGTCACTTATGTATTTAAGGTTGCACTTTTTTAATTTTTTTTCTCTCTGAGCTCTCAGTTTCTAACACATGTAATTTTGAACACAAAAAATAGCTTGAAGCTAACGTATGTCATTAACTGATGTCACTGTACATATTACTGCAAATAGCTTGACATTGTAAAACAGCTTCAAAACCTGTTGGGAGATGCATTTATAGAAGCACTGGTTGAGGACAAGACTGTCATACACCAAGTATGGGAGTTTTGAGGGACAAAATAAGATGGACTAAATTTCACTGTATATATGTCACAAGAATTTTATTTCGTTTTGTAAATTATTTTAGATTGCTGAAAACTTCCGCATTTTGTGATGACTTGTGTTAAAATAAATGTTGCTTTTAGTACAAAAGGATCAGTATTTATGCATTGATAAAATGTAAGTTATTATTGTAAATACATATCTATGTATGCTATGCTATTTACATGTAGACCAAGGATCTAAATGATGACGTAAACAGACGTGAAGATTCATTTTGTTAATGATAGTAATTTGAAATTTATGAATTTGTATGAAAAGGCATCAAAATGCACTGATCTTAAAGGGGTTGTCGAAGTCAATTATGGTTTCACCGTTCCTAGTTTCTGATGTCTTTGGTTTCTGTAGTTATAGAAATTCTTTACTGGATAAAACGTCCACTGTCATTTGACTAAAAGCTGCTTTTGCAGACGTCATAAAAACACTTAGTTTTAGTAGAATCGGAAGATTCACAAATGTCTAAATTAAAATTAGAATGTGGCAAATCAATGCTTTCAGTGACCCCGATACACATAAAAATTAAGAAAAAGTTCTTCACAATCCCTTTAACGAACTACGTCACCTTTTTGAAAAGTACATTACAAGAAAATTGATGCAAAAATGGTTGACTTCTGTAATTACCATAACATTCAAGGTTGTTGTGGTTGCTAACCATTGGAAGTCATGGTAGGGTGGAATCTTGTTATCATCAGATCCTAGGACTATATTGTATGTTAAATATTAAGAAAGATGGGTGAATTATGGAGGTTTTTTTTGGAGATAATTATTTTGGGGTATTGTAGTGATTATCACTTTAAATATATGCAATACATGTGATATCACAAATTATTCTTGGGTAGGTAGACTATAATTTTAACACCATTCTTGATAGGGTTATAGAAGTTGTAGGATTTATATGTGTATCGACCTATTGCTTCTATTAGCATCAAAAGAATTTCCTGTTTGCTTTCTGTAGCTATTGCATATACCATTCAGGTCAGTGTTTCTGAAAAATCTGTCACACCAAATATCAGTTTTGGCTAATCAAATTCACATTTCGTAAAAATTTGGTAGCAATTTTAAATGTTGCAGTTGTCGATTTCTGATCGATCTTGACAGTGATGTTACGGGTCATTTTGACTCTCAAAATGCGATGTGATACCACTTAAATTGAATCCTGATGTGCTCAGGAACCACAGCTGTCAGATTTCAAGAAGGTGCTAGTAAAAGCAATAAGTGTGGCTTATGTACATACAATTGTTGGTGGAAGTCTTATTAAGGCAATTCATTACATGATAATCTCCAATGTAACTACAATGTCTTGTCATTTTGAAACCAATTGCATCTCATCAAAGTTTTAATCCACTCTTCACACTTATCATATATTTAATTCGAGTGTATTTCACAATTAGCTAAGATCACTTGCAACTGGGTTTCCATTTGTTCAAAATTTGTAGCAAATGTGGTACGTATATAGGCATATTGACAACTTAATCAAAGAATCTCTTGATGTTTAAGAAAAGTCAAGATCAACGAAATCAGGAATCTGCATTTTACTTCTACTTACTTTTTTCCTCTTAGGAAATTACTCATGACAAAACTGTAATTTGTAAGATGTTTTGACGATAATTTATATTCTCATCATCATTTGGTGATGTATTTATATTTTAAGGTTTTATTTTTTAGATATTATGCAAATAAGTATATCGAAATAAGAACAATTTTATGCATAAGCACAAGAACAAACTGTTTACTGTTCATTTCATTCATTTGTTTGTCTTTTGATAGTTTAAAGCTGGGTTATCTCCCATGAACAACTTATATCAAGAAATCTATTCCATATTATTTGTAGAATAAAAAGAGAAATCCATAAGAGAATACCAATGAAAAAAATTCCATGGCCTATTTTTACATGTTACTTAGTTTTGGATACATTGGACGCAATTTTGTTTGTCAAGAAGTTGAATATGATTGGATTGTTTGAGATCGTAAAGATGGTTTAACCAATGAAAAGTATCTTCATGTGATACAAGTTGCAAGAAATATCCTCAGGGATGCATGTATCCAATCAAATTCAACTTCCTCACCAACAATAACATATCCAAGATTAGGCCCTTAGTCTGAAACATCTGCTGATTTAAAGTTGTCTGAAACATTTTGCAGTTCTAAAAGTAGTCAAAATATCTATCAGAGGCTGGAATAGAGGCAGATGTTTCGGATTAAGGTGGCCCATGTACAGGGATTGTATAAAATGTTCTTTTATTTCCAGCTTAGTGGAACTTTTAACCTTTGGAACAAGGCACTAAGTTTTGTACAATCTCTTTAAATAAGTTCACTCAATCTGTAGGCCTACCCTTCTCACTTCAGTTTGTTAAAGCCATTAGTCATCAATGTATAGTCGTCAAATGTGAAAATTGGACTTGAAAATATAATAAAATAAAGTTATTATTTAAAAGACTTGTTAATTTACACTGTGTCTGTTACAGCACTTTTGGTTTCTGATTTCTTGCCCAAACCACAAAATAAGCGATTTTCCTCTTGAAAATTTGGGTGAAACTTTAAAGTCGATTTTCTCGAAACTTTTTCCAAAATCCGAATTTCTTTTTTTGACTGAAATAGATAGGGGACATGTTAAAGTTTATTTTGCGACAAAAATTATAACTCTCTGGTCAAAATTGGCGAAGTTATGGCCATTTAGCGGAGGGGTGGGGGTCGGCAGTTTTCCTATAGAGTCTATTTGCGCTGGTAGGGTTGATCAGTCTGTACTGATTCCTTTGAATTTTTCAAGAGTGACTGATTCCATATCAATAAAGTATGCTATATTGTAAACATGTTGAAAATTTAAATGTTTTAAGCAGCCAAAAATTGTCATGTGGGACCATGACCATATAATATAAGCAATGTAGTGAATTAATAACAGAACTCAAAGTTCTAGATGTTAGTTGCTGTATATGCACTATGCATTAATGTCAAAAGCCAAAAATTTCATTGCATTGACTTTCAGATCTTTCTTAATAGGTCATAAAAGGTAACTGGAAACTGTCATTGTACCATGTCCAGAAACAAAAGATTAAAACCAGAAATTAAAGGGACAAGTACGCCATTTCTGGGGGTGATTTTTTATTTCTTGAATATGGGTAAATAATCTTCAGAAGAACTAGAAATGTATGAAAATCGCATAATTCCTTCAAAAATATCTCAAACTAGGAATTTCTTTTCCTATTTCTATAGATGTGTTTTCTATATTATGGCAGTGGCTGTAGAAAAGACGACTGGTCTTTTTAACTTTCAAACATGGTTATAATTCTGGACCCACATGGATTTGAAGGGTCATATTTCCACAGTGAGCTATGAACACTATTATTGATTGGCTTAGCTAAAAAAATCCTGTTTCTGAGACTTAAGTATGATTGGTCAAAAAGAACTGTCCCTTTAATATAAGAAATACTGTATAACCAAAATTTTATGTCACATATAAATTGAAACTATAAAATGTTTTGACATGATACAGGTATTGCATCACCACTATAACCAACAATACTGTCCATAATATAATAAATTTAAAAATTTATATAAGTTGGTGACCTTGACATGAATACATAGCAGACACCAGTACTAAATACAATACCTATATTGTAGCAGCCGGGTCTATATTATACTTAGTGTCAACTCAGCCATTTAAAATCATGATGACTAATATAATAAAATTTTGTTATAGACCTATAAAATAAGAATCTCCCTTCTTGAAATTGTCTGCTGCTGGTTTTTACCAATTGTCTTTGATTCTTTCTTGCCATACCTCTCGTTAGGAATGATATATACCAGTCCGACCACTCTTGACCTATCAGTTCCTAAGGTATTGTAAAGAGGTTTTCTAAAATTTCCATGTGTATCGGGAACACCGATCAATTTGAATTATTTGAATTTTTAAATCAGATGTGGTTCCTGCAATTCCACTAAAAATAAGTGTTTGATGACGTCACTATTTGCGAAATATGCTGGTATATGCAAACATTTACTTTTAGCGGAGATGCAATTGAAAATTAGAATGATGCAAAATGGTGCTATCAGTGTCCCTGATACACATAAACAAATTAGAAAACCTCTTAACAATCCCTTTAAACAAGATATTAAAAATATCATGTCTGAGGTGAGGAGAGAGGGGGGGGGGGGGGGAGCAGGAAAGAGGCTGGCAAACTTTCAAAGTTTTTTATCATTTTATATAGTGAAAGAATAGCCGTGGCCCCCCTGGAATATTTTGAGGCCCCTGGTCGGC